ACTCTATTGATTGATTGATTGAAATGGAAATTACAATATGAAAATTGTATAGAAAACCAGTTCAGTAAATGTAAAGATATCTAGCTCTTCGCGGGGCTAGTTCTTCCCAAATTCATACTCAAATTTTAACATGCTTTTACAATTGAGGGAACTGCCGATCAATAATGTCAAAGGATTCCCATGTGGCCTCATGAGAAGGTAAATCCTTCCAGTTGATCAATACCTCTCTAGAGCCATCTAACAAGGTTCGAACATATTGTACGGAAGCAGGCTGGACCATTAGCTCTAATTCGTCAGTAAGGCATTCCGGCAGGGGTTGAACTGGAACAGAATTATGAAGGCTATTCTTCTCTTCTTCAATTGAGAAACGTGGAAGATTGGGTGAATCCGGGAAGTGTCAGGTAAGGCTAGGCGATAGGTTACTGCACCAATTTTTTCCAGAATTTGAAAGGGCCCGTAAAAGTGAGGGCTGAGTTTTTCATTAAGCTTGAGAGCCAAGGAGCGGAATTTATAAGGTTGAAGTTTCAAGTAAACAAAATCACCTGGTTCAAAGGACACATCTCGACGGTGAGAATTGGCTTGGGTGGGCATGCGGTCTTGTGCGGCAGTGAGATTGGCTTTCAACTCGTCCAACAATGCATTGCGGTCGATCATTTGTTGATTAACTGTCTCCACCGAAGAATGGACCTTTGTAAATTTCAGAAGTGTAGGAGGGGGTCGACCATAAAGAGCTTGGAAAGGGGACATTTTGGTAGAGCTATGGTAGGATGTGTTAAACCAAAATTTAGCCCAATGAATCCATTTCGGCCAATGCTTGGGTTTGTTACTTGTAAAACAGTGAAGATATGTCTCGATACAGCGTTAACCACCTTCGTTTGACCATCCGTTTGGGGGTGGTATGCTGAGCTGAATTTGAGAGTAGTACCTGCCAAGCGAAACAATTCAGTCCAAAATTTACTCAGGAATAGACAATCCTGGTCAGAAACAATAGACTTAGGAAATACATGCAAGCGGACCACTTCCTTCACAAACAGGGTAGCTACTTCAGTTGCCGTATAAGGGTGACACAATAGCATAAAATGACTTTACTTTGTCAATCGGTCCACTACCACCAAGATGGTGTCAAACCCGAAACTATTAGGGAGGCCGCCAATGAAATCCATGGAGAGGTTGTCGAAGGCCAAATCTGGGATTGGTAAGGGTTGTAACAACCCATCAGACTTTAAGGAGAGATGTTTGTTTTGTTGACACACCACACATGCATTGACAAACTCTTTGACATCTTGCTTGATTCCCTCCCAAAAAATAACACCAGCAATTCTTTTATATGTGTAAAAAAAACCGGAATGGCCGCCACTGGGTGTGTTGTGGAATTCCTCCAATATTTGTGGAATGAATTTAGATGTTTTTGGGAGGACCAATTGGACTTTGTACAAGAGGCAGCCATGGTGTAAGGTATAATGAGCTTAGGAAGTAGGCTTTGCAATGAGGTCTTGTATAATCTGCTTGAGTTTATCATCTTGGAAAGCTTCGGTGGCCAAGTCTTCATAACCAGGAAATATAACTGTAGACAAAGCATGCAGTTCAGGGTCAGGTTCACGTCGGAAGAGAGCAACAACTACTTTGTTAGAGCTGTCCGGATTGTACTGAATCTCAAACTTGTACTCCAGTAACTTAGAGACCCATTTATGCCGTTCCAGAGTGATCGACCTTTGTCCTGTCAAGAACTGTAAACTTCGCTGGTCCGTCTTAACGATGAATTTGCTGCCGATCAGGTAGTGGCTCCATTTATGCACTGCAAACACAATAGCCATTAGCTCTCGCTCGTATACTGATTTCTGTCTGGCAGAGGAAGAAAAAGCTTTACTGAGAAAAGCAATGGGGCGTTCGTGTTACACCAATATAGCTCCCATACCTAAGCCTAAAGTGTCAGTTTGTATTTCAAAGGGCTCATTAAAATTTGAAGTGGCCAACACTGGAACTGAAACCATCACTTGCTGCAAACACTCGAAAGCGCGCTGTGCCTCAAGGCTCCACTTGAAGGAGTCTTTCTTTAGTAATTGCGTTAATGGTTGGGTGATCTAACCATAATTCCTAACAAATTTTTTGTAGTATCGGGTAAGACCCAAGAGGCCATGTAAACTCTTCACTGTCGTTGGAATAGGCCAATATAACATGCAATCGATCTTAGCAGGGTCCGCTTCGACTCCATTCCAGGATATGATGTGTCCCAAATATTCCAGTTTAGCTTGGGCGAATTGGCATTTCTTTTTATTGACTACTAACTTGTGCTGTTGGAGTTTTTCAAAGACCTGGCACAATTGCAGTAGATGAATAGAGAAGTTAGGACTATAAATTAATATATCATCAAAAAATACCAGGACAAATTTGCGGAAAAATAGCCTGAAAATTTCGTTCATTACGGCTTGGAAGGTTGATGGCGCATTAGTCAACCCGAAAGGTATCACTAAGAATTCATAATGTCCTTCGTGTGTCCGGAAAGCTGTTTTAGGGACATCTTCCTCACGAACCCGAATCTGATGATACCCTGATTTGAGATCCAATTTAGAGAATATGACGACATTTCCCAATTCATCAAGCAGCTCGTCAATGGCTGGGATTGGAAACTTATTGCGTATGGTGATGTCGTTCAAGGCCCTATAATCCACATAGAAATGCCAACTACTGTCTTTCTTCTGAACTAACAACATCGGACTGGAAAAGGGGCTAACACTAGGCTGAATAATGTCGGCTGCCAACGTTTCCCCAACCAACCTCTCAATTTCATTTTTCTGAGTATAAGAATAACAATAAGGCCTAATATTCGGAATGGAGGCCCCATCCTTCAAGGTGATTGAATGGTCCTGACGCCTAAGTGGAGGAAGGCTCGCAGGCTGATCGAAAATGGGCACAAATTCAGTTAAGAGAGTTTCTACTCTGGGGTTCACTATCATTACTTCCTCGGCCTCCTGTTGCACAATGGAGCAAAATTCCATCATAAACCCATGGTCCTCTTGGTGTAGGGATTTCAGCATAGCCTTCAATGACACAACTGTTTTCACCAGCGATGGATCACCCCTGAGTACTACCGATTTCCCATCCACCTCAAACTTCATGGTAAGACACCTCCAAATTGTACAAACATTGCCTAACGTACTTAACCACGTAATCCCAAGTACAACGTCAGCCCCTCCCAAATCAAAAGGAAAAAAAATCATGTACTACCGTAAGTCCTGGCATGACTAACTCCAACCCCTTACACACCCCTGTACTCCGCACTGTATACCCTTTCCCAACCATTACACCAAAAGCCTTTGTTTCTTGCACCTTTAAACCCAGCTGTCGAACTAGATCTTAAGAGATGAAGTTGTGTGAAGCTCCACTGTCTACCATCATGACGACTTCAAATCCTTGCAAATCACCCTGAAGCTTCAGAGTGGTGGTTGACGTCAAACCCACTATGGAGTGCATGGATAGAGCTACAAGATCTTCTTCTACGTGGCCTTTTTCCTCAGTTTTCACCATTGTTTTAGCTTCCCTTTGTTCTTCCTCTACATCCATGACTAACAAGATCTAAAGGGTGTGATTTTTGCATCTGTGAGCTGGCCCAAACTTCTCATCACACTTGTAACAAAGCCCTCTCTCCCTCTTGTACTGTAGCTCTGCATCGGTAAGTCGCCAGAAGTGGTTGTCTCTGGAGATCATCGGCGTTGACTCATGCCCCTTCTCTTCTTTTCCATTTCTCATTTGAAATGGTAAAAGACGATCTAGAGGTTTGAAGGAGTTGGGTACCCATCCAATTTTAAGTGGTTTTGGGCCTGGTGTGAAGCTAGTATAATCTCCTTCCTTATTGGTCCATTGGGCTCGGCACGCTTTCTATTTATTTTTGTCTAACACCCAATTCCTTTCCTCAATCCTATGGGCTTGGTCCATTAGTTCAAACAAGCTGTTAGGCCTGACTAACCTCAATTCAGCCCGTATTTCTTCCTTCAGCCCACTGGTAAAGGTGCCCATTAGCAACTCTTCTTCAACCTTTTGCATAGGTGTAGCCAGCAGCTCAAACTGCTCATGGTAGTCAGTCACGGTGGTGGTCTGTTTCAACGTCACTGGTGATTCAAAGGCTGAACCCTTGTACGACGGTCTAAATCGCTTGATCACCGCTTTCTTGCAAGTACACCAGTTTGTAAATGGAACTCGAGAATCTACCCATTGGAACCAGTTCAAGGTGCGCCCCTCCATGCACATTGCTGCGGCTTCTAGCTTTTCCCCCTCATCAAACTTGTTGACCTAGAAATACCTATCAGCTCTGAAGATCCACCCATGAGGATCCTCTCCGTTAAACACAGGTAGTTCCAATTTCCTCACTCTCCGATCATCCCCTCCACCACTCTTGTTTGATTTTGATGAATTCCGGTTGCGATCGTTGCAACTCGCCTGAATCTCAGACGACTCTCCCTTCTCTTTCCCTTGATTCACACTTCCCTCCTTCTCATCCTTCAACTTAATCCATTCCCTCAACTCTAGTAGGTATTCTTTGATGTTACCGGCATCGATCTTCCTTAACTTCGCTGATGTCTTCCTTAACACTTCCCACCTCCCTCTCAATCCCTTCCATTCTTACCTCCATTCTTCTATTCACTATTACCCACACGCAGCTCTGATACCAATTTGTTGAGAACCTGGATCCTCAAACGCAACACAACCCAACTGATTGTAATCCGGTACTCAAACAACAATGTTCAAACTCCAAACAGAAATGAAGATTGTAAAATTGCTATGAAAATTGTACTGTATTGATTGATTGATTGAAATGGAAATTACAATATGAAAATTGTATAGAAAACCAGTTCAGTAAATGTAAAGATATCTAGCTCTTCGAGGGGCTAGTTCCTCCCAAATTCATACTCAAAGTTTAACATGCTTTTACAATTGAAATCCCACAATTTATATCCCCAACGTCACACCCAATGCATGATTCCTGCTATGTGGATAACTAACTCCCCCTTGCGCGCACCCGCTGATTGGCCTTCATGTTTCTTTTGTAAACGTGAATAGTAGGGGTCGTATCAGAAGGTAATTTATTAATAATAAATAGGAAAAAAACACTCGGAATAAGAAGATGTAATGAAACTTAGACACGATAAATGTAATGGTACAAAGGAAGGATAAAATATTCAAGCACACATGCATTAGAAACAATAAAATACAATCAACAAATGAAAATAGAGAAGAAAGAAATTGGAGTAATGTGAACCTGGGTACGGAAAACTTGCTGGAATCATGATGTAGGTCTTGAAAAATAAACGAAGAAGCATCACAACACGCCACCAATGCATTAGCAAGAGAATCTGCTATCACATTTTCTTCAACAGAAAAGAAAAGCAATACTATGTGATGGCATTTATTCAGCAATTAAGATGAACCTCTCGGACATGAGCAATCTTCGACTGATCACGTCTGCAGCTTTCACTCAGAGCAGGACAGCCTTGAATCTTCAGTTGTTTGAGGACAGTAAGGCGTTGCATCCCTTCTGGAAGACATGACAAGCTCGGGCAATCTAAAATCTCCAATGTTTGAAGTGATGTGAGATTTTGCAGCCACTCCGGTAGTTCTACTAAATTGGGACAATTTTCAATCATTATGCACTGTAAGGTGTTTGCCGATCCTTGAAGAATAAGCTAAGGCAAATCCACTAATGATGGCAAATGGACAATTATAAATTTTCGAACTCCCAAGCAAAGGTTGTCTTTGTCTTCTCCTTGAAATTCCATCTTCAAGTTAAGATTTACACAGGCAATAATCGCTACAGTCTCTAATCGCTTGAGGTACTTGATTATATGGCAACGAGGTCAGGGAACAATCTTGAAGAACCAATCTTCGGAGGCTTGTGAGACCTTGCATCTCTTCAAACAATCTTACTAGATTCCTGCAGCTAGCTAAGGTAAAAAATTTAAGAGAACTCAAACATCCGATTCCATCTTCTCGTAGACATCGCTCTTTTGTGGTTATTTCCACATGCCTAAGGGAGATCATCCTTCGTATCTTCTTAGGCAACTTCTTAAGCCCATCACAATGAAAAAGTCTAAACGTCTCCAACTTCTGAAGCTTGCAAATAGATTCAGGAAGTTTCTTCAATAAAGGATTATATGATAAGTCAAGGTATCTCAAATGTATCAATGTAGCGACAGAGTTTGGCAAGACTTCAAAAAGCATATTGCATAAGGTTAGCAGTCGAAGGTGCTTGAATTTAGATATGCACGGAGGGACAAATGAGGCACCAACAAGCTCGTATGAGTCGTATCCTTGCAGAAAAATAAGGGACCGAACCGTCTTTGATCTATTATCTAGAACTTCTGGAGTTTTTTGAGTGTTGAAATCAGAGTCAATTGAAAAGTGCCGAATGCTCCCATCAACTGTTTGGCTTCTGGATTTTATAACAGCACACTCACTTTTTGCCACTGATATTGCAAGATCATGCATAAGATCATGCATTTTAAACTGATAAAATGAATGATAATACTCCGTAAAATCCTGTAAGAAACACCTTGACCATAAATCCTTCATATAACGCACAGCAACATCTTCTAATTCTTCAATATCATTGTTAGAGGTTGCAAGGAGTCCATGTGCCATCCAATATCCGGCGACGTAATCACTGTCGTAAATATAATCCTTTGGAAATAAGGAAAGATAAGCAAAGCATTGCTTCAAGTATGACGGCAAATTATATAGCTCAATTTCAATACAGGTAAGATGTCTTCATTTTCCTGTTTCAGCTGCCATATGTCACTTCTTTTCGTTCTTAACCACTCATCTTCGTCTGTGTTTGCAAAAAGTAAGCTCCCTAAAGTTCTCAGAGCTAACGGAACTCCTTGACATTTTCCGACAATGTCCTCAGCAATTTTGACGAGGTTTGGAAAATCTTTCCCTTCTCCATCTTTAAATGCGCAGTTTTTAAACAATGATAAAGAATCCTCAAGTGAAAGACCTTGTATGAAATGTGGGGAAACGGTGCCCATTATCTCGGCAACAGTTTTACTACGTGTACTCACAATAATTTTACTTCCATTGACACTACTCACTAGTAAGTTTTTCAATTCCCTCCATTTCATGGGCTTCTCATTCCAAACATCATCTAAGACAAGCAAAAACTTTTTACCTATCAAAATTTCCTGCAAACGCTTGGGAATTTCATCTGCTTTTAACTTAGAACAATCCTCCTCATGTTTTGCAGACTTAATAATTTCTTTCATCAATCGGGTGATGTCGAAGTCGTCGGAAACACATACCCACATCTTTAACTAAAAATGCCTATCGACCCTCTCATCATTGTAAACCATTTTAGAAAGAGTGGTTTTACCCAAACCCCCAATCCCAACTATAGGAATGACGGAGACATTAACATCGGCTCGTTGTCTCAAAAAGGTTATGATGTTTTCTTTATCCTTCTCTCTTCCAATGACATCAGAAGCTTGGAAGAAGGAATTAGTCTCCCTCTCCTTGGGAATTACATGCCTCACGTCAACATGACTCTCAATGAGAAGAAAAGAAAATTTTCGCCTATCATCTGCGATTTCATCTAACCTGTCTCTAATTTCCTTGATCTTGTGACCAATTTTAACATGATTAGATCTTGAAAAGCATTGACATACCTTTAATGTTGAGCTCCCCTGTTGTGATCTCCTGGAAGCTTGAAGGTCGAATTCATCTAAAACGTCCTCAGCATCATAAAAAACATCCTTAAGCTTCGCAAGCCAAACACGCAGCTGATGGTTTTGAGTCTGCTTTGTCTCGGCATCCAACAGCACAGCTTTGATGGCGCTCATGGTTCGCTGAAGTCTTCTTAAATCACTATCCAGATTCCACAGCAACGACAATTCCCCACCAACAAGGGAACCTATCTTCTTCAAAATTTCAGTGGCAGTGCCAAATACAATGGACTCAGCCATATTTTCTTTGAAGAGAGCGAGAATCAGGTAGTTTAAGAGAAATGAATTAGCTAAGAATGGATGTTTGAGCGTATTCAGCTACCCTGCTAATACTAAAACCTGTAAAGGCGACATGCAGGGAATAAACAATGCGTGAGAAGTTGGTAAAAGTATGCAACTATCGAATCGTATTTAATAAAATCGTATTTATTTATTCTTTTACTTTTTTTTTTTTTTTTTTCAATATTTTTAACTTTAGTGCTTTTCTTCGAATGACCTCTAATAAAATAAAGAAAACAGTGGAAAGAAACCGATGTGGCTCCTTCTAATAATATAATAAATAATTTTAAATAAATATTATTTATTCTTTTCCTTTTTTTTAATCAATATTTTTATCTTTAATACTTTTCTTCGAATGGCATCTAATAAAATAAAGAAAATAGTGAAAAGAAACTGGTGTGGGTCCTTCTAATAATATAATAAATTAAAAATTTAGTAAAATATTATTTATTATTATTTTTTTAACTTTTATGCTTTTCTTCGAATGGTATTGGTATCTAATAAAATAGTGGAAAGAAACTGACGTAGGTCCTTCTGCTAATATAAAAATTAATAATTTGAATAAAATATTATTTTTCTCTTACTTTTTTTAATATTTTCTTCAAACAAAAACATCTTTTTAAATCAATTATAATGAAAATCAAGGATTTTATGGATTTGACCATGTTCACTGCTAATTATAGTAATTAGGATTAATTTTGTAGTCATGACGGCTTGTTCAACAAAATGACACATTTTAAACAAGCATTTTGAGACAAATAACCTATGGTAATTTGAAGTGGTTTTACCTATTTGGTAAGTAATAAATTTTATATTTTTAATTTTTTATGTGTTTTTGGACAAACATAAAAAATACATTTTTATTTTTGGCCTTTCTAAATACTGTTTTTAGATAAACATATTAAACACGTTTTTATTTTTCGTAATTTTCAATCAAAAAACAAGAATACAAAAACTCAAAATTCATAATCAAACACACACATGTTTGTTTGAATATTCAAGATCATAACATCTATTACTAGTTCCGTAATGTTGACAACCCCAAATGGCTTAATATGACTTTGTAAAATGTTACATAATCATTTATTTTAGAAGTTGAATCTCTTTCACTTCATTGAGTCTAAATTGTTGTGTTATTAGATATATATTTGGATTGGACATATGGTTTAGGATCTTCCTCCTTTGAGTTAGCCTTTGAAAAACACAAAAAACAAAACAAGAGAAGAGAAGCAACAAATTAAACCCTCAAAATCAAAATGCAGTTAGTTATATATCTTCTTTCCAAGAAGTCCCAAGCAATAAACCATAAACTAAAGAGTAAAGATCAACTTATTATTGGTTGTTGGGAGCCAAAGAACGCATGTAGCCCACACTAGCAGTGAAATAGTTGACAAGCTTTTCTCTTGGGGGAAGGCTTTCTTTGATGAGTGGAATTTGGATGAATTTGTGGCACCATTCATTCAGCAATGGCAATTTCTCACCATCAACCAACTTCATTTCTCCAACTTGTTCCATTACCTTCAGCCAGTGAGGGATCCAACCCAATGCTAGATCCAGATATCCTATTTCTTCTCCACCGAAATATTTCTTTCCTTCGATTTGCTTCTCAAGAAAGGCAAATGATTCTATTGCAGACTCCACTGCTTTGTCCTTTTCTTCTCCTTCTTTCCAGCAAGATCCAAATGCACCCATCAAACACTAGTTTCATAAAAATTTAAATACAAGATTAGAAGCCTTGTATAAGCACAAAGTTAAGCACATGATTAATCAAGCATATTTTTCATGTACCTTCTCATCAGCAAATTTAGCATGGCTCTCTCACATGGATCTTCAGGCAGTAAAGAGTACTTTTCTTTCCACAACTCGTCGATATATTCAAGAATTACAAGTGATTCAGCAATCGGTTTGTCATGGTGAACCAGCACAGGGACTTTCTTAAGCACAGGATTGTATTTCAGAAGGATTGGACTCTTGTTCATTAAATCTTCCACTATGTATTCATATTCAACCCCTTTAAGCTTCAGAGCCCATTCAATTCTCGTGCAGAATAGGCTTAAAGTTGATCCAATCACCTTCACTTCACCCATGTTGATAAGCTTCGATATGAACTGTGAACTCAATTTGCAATTTATTCCAACTATCTTCTGGTGATTATCGATCTAATATAAAGTATTTAGCAAAGAGTTGCCTGATACGTTTGAAAAGTCAAATGACTATAAAATATGCGGCCAAGTATTTTGACTTCAAGGATAAACAAAGAAGTTTTATTCATGGAGAATTCGTATATATATGTTTGAATAATAAAAGATAGAGAAAAAGAATATTTTCAGCCTGGACGACCGATTAGCAACCAGAAAGTTCAAACGGGAAAAATTCTAAATAAAAGGATCATAATTTTGACTGATGTGACAATTTTAGTAAAAGAATGAAAAGAGGGGTTCATTCAGGATTAAAAATAATTAATTAGCTAATTACATCATTGCTTGCATATATAGCACCAATATTGTTAATGAAATTGAAATCAAAGTAATAATTTGCTAATGCTGGATGTTAACACCAACGATTTGCATGTGTAAAGAGCTAAACTGACTTAGAAATTATATGTGAATGAAAATGCAATGAAGTAAATGGAAGATGATTTTTAAAGTGGTTTGGATGCTTAAAGCGAATCTTATGTTCACTGTTCTTTTATATAAATGAGGTTACAGGAGGTCGCGTATAACGAACAACGAGCAGAGGGACAAATAACTGATTATTCAGAGAGAACATCGAGTCAGTCTCTTTCTCGTAGGTTATCTATGTTTTGAGAATAAAATGTTACAATTAGAATGGGGGCTTTTTTATCAGAATCCCAAAAGTAAGAGGGGAACCATCTATTTATAGTAGAAGGTTTTAGGGTAATGATTACAAATTTGTAAGTAGGCAATTATAGTACAATTCCTACCGCCCTTCCCATTGATTGATTACATAGGAAATATTCTCAAATCGCGTAGGGCTTGGACATGTGGGCGACTCCCATCCACTCATAAACAAAACTTGAATCTGTCAAGTTGATGACAGTCATACTCTTTTTGTCTTTGGACGATGTGGCAGCTCCTAGACGATTCAAAACATTCATAAACTCTGATTGACGCTTGCTAACGTAAGCCCTGATTTTTAAGCATAACATAATTAAACCAACGAGAAGATTATAAAAATATATATTACAATCCAAACTATAACATATTAGAGGTTTTGATAATTTTATAAAGGGGTCTGATATTTTTTAGGGATTTTTTTATATTTAATACTTTTTGAAGGATAGGATGAGTTTCATTTAAGCAATCTCATAGAGGAAAAGGAAATAAACCCTCTAGATATGGTTCACATAACCTAAAAGATTTAAACGAACACCCATGCATAACAAACACAACAAAATAAAACCAAAATGATAAGAAAAAAAAAATGCTACCAAAATATAACTATTAAAAATGAAGTTCGACTGATAAAGTGAACCTGGACATGAGAAACATGCAGGATGATATCATTTATTCATCAAGATGAACATCTCGGACATGAGCAATCTTTGAGCCATCGCGTCTGCAGCTCTCACTCAGAGGAGGACAGTCTTTAATCTTCAGTTTTCTGAGGGCAGTAAGGCGTTGGATCCCTTCTGGAAGAGATGACAACCTCCAGAATCTTATAATTTCCAGCGTTTGAAGTGATGGCCGGTATTGCTTCTAAGTTGGGAAAACTTTCAATCTTCATGCACCGTAAAGTGTTTGCCGATCCTTGAAGACTAAGCTGAGGCAAATCCACTGATGTCGTTCCTACTTGTGATCAGTGGTTTTTCCTTTCAAGTTAACTGTTATGGCTTGTTATAATTTTGTTCATATCTTGTTGGAGCTGACCTTCAATGTTATATTTGTGACATTGCTTGTATATATGCCTAGTTATAAAAAAAATATATCAATGATGAACTGCCAAAAATCTTCAGTAAGATCAATGAGTTCGACAGAAGGTGAGATAAAAGTAACTGTTCAAAGATGAACCTGTTTTGGTGAAGGAAATGATGGCCATGGTTGAAGAGTCGGAAGAAGAATGGTGGAAGACAAAGAAGAAAGAAGCAGACCACCTTGTCGCCAAGGCTCTGTGATCACATGGATCTTCAGGCAACAAAGGCTTCTCCTTCCACAACTCATCTATGTATTCCAAAATTACCAGTGATCCAGCAATGGGTTTTTCATTGTGAACGAGCACAGGAACCTTCTTATGCAGAGGATTAGATTTGAGAAGGATTGAAGTCCTGTTCTGTAAATCTTCTGCTA